ACGGTGTTCAAGACATTTCCTTTTTCGTTATCGATTGAAAGGAAACATTGACACCAACGTCATTCGAAGCGTCGAATGCAGAAGAGGGAGAGTTCCGCCTATGAGGACGATCAAACTCACGCGTGGCGCGTACCCGTCGACGAAGGCCGTTTGTGCGTTTGATCGCCAAGGAGGAAAGCACGATGGGGTGTAGTGGGTGGTGTGTTCGGAAACTTGAAAGGGCCTCCTCTAATTTACTGCAGGTACTCCTCTGTAACGCACCCAAGTCTCTCTCTCTCTCTCTCTCTCTCTCTCTCTCTATTTTCCTCCTTCCCTACCCCCCTCTATCCTTCTCTTTTGAACATGTTCGTTACACTGTGTATCAGTTTGTACACACATATACGGTTGATCTACGTGTTACGTTTGTGCGTAATACCATAGCTATTCGGCTTCTGTGTGTTCTGACTAACCTCGATTCCGTAGCAATTTCCGGTTCATCTGCTGGCATATCGTCATTGTATAAAGGCGATTGTAGATGGTGATAGAGAGAGAAAGACATAGAGAGAGAGAGAGAGAGAGAGAGAGAGAGAGAGAGAGAGAGAGAGAGAGAGAGATAGAGAATGAGATATACGTCGAGGACGAACTACTCAGGATGGCAAGCAACATCGAGGGATCCGTCTGGTTATGATGCAGGAAATAGATAATCGAACGCTTAATTACTTCCCAGCCAAGTAGCGAAATGAAGGATCCAGAATCTCCTATCACGTACGGATTTATTAACTTTGCTCGCTACGAACTAGCTTTCATTTAAGCAGCGTTAATTAATAGTATGTCATCGGATCATAATTAACGTATTTTGAACAATAAAAGAACAAATACTTTAGTTTACTTTTCTCTTACGGCAAAGAGAATACTGTTGGGAATCATTGAACCCCGTTTAAGCTTCATTCCAGGATCCTTGCATTTTAACGATAATTTGACAGTAACAAGGCTGAGCTTAATTACATCGCGTTCGATATCGTGGGCCGATCGTGTGTCTAGACTAAAACGAATTATTCGGCGCTTAAATCGAATAATCCAGCGAATAAAATGGATTTGGGCATGGGTCCGATAAAACGCACTGGCAGTGAATTTACGACGTATTTAATGATCGTTCTTCGAACTACTTCGTCGTGTGTAATCATCAAAGATATGGGACTTCATTCAAAAGATGAGGGGTAAAAGGAAAATAAGGACGATTCAAGTGAATAGAAGGGATTGAACTTTCTTTATTTTTTCATTAAAAGAAGATAATGTTTTTTTTTTTTTTTTTTTTTCTTCGTTTTTAGTATTTAATAACTTTCAAAAACTTTCTCCTTACTAATCTCTCTCTATCTCTCTCTCTATCTCTTTCTCTCTCTCTATCTCTTTCTCTCTCTCTATCTCTTTCTCTCTTTCTTTTTCTCTCTTTCTCTTCCCTTCTTTCGTCGAAAATAAGGTTTACACTTTTGTTTAACGAGTCGAGTCAGGAATGGTAAACAAATGCACGTGATTGGGACATGATCGTGACAGAAGCGTAATCTAATTGTTTAAACGTGTTCGCGTCTCTTTACAATGAAAAATCAAATGAATAACATCCTTACGTATAACTATCTTGTAAATAAAAAGGATAGATGTCCTAATTCGCTCTTAAATTTAGCAATGTCTATTATTGTCTATAATTAATCATTCGATAGTTAGAGTCTCATACGACATATTTATCATATGTTTGGCAAGCGAATTTTCTTCTTATTCGACTAATTCAACGAAGTATATGATATTTTTTTTATAAAATTGGATCTTATATGAAATGGAAAGAAACAATTTTGTTTGAGGCAATGTGTTATGCGTTTATATTTAAAAAGGTAAGGCAGGTGCAAACCGTGCGGCACGTGTATTCGTTTACGTATATATGTATGTGCTTTTATGCGCGCGCCTCGATGCGGAGGGCCAAGAAGGCGTGAGTTTGCGACCAGCGGGAATGACTAAGGTACTGAATACAGGGTAACTGAGATAATTATTTCCGTGGTCGGTCGGCCGGCCCATTTAACCTATAAAATTTGCATATACGGCTCTTAGGCAGCTCGTGGCTTCCGAAGTCTTCAGTCTCTCTTTCTCTCTCTCTCTCTCTCTCCCACACTCTCCCTCACTCTTTTTCTCTTTCTCTCTCTTTCTTTCTCTAAAGTTTACGCTAACACTCGCTCGCTCGCTCGCTCGCTCGTTTTGCGTTTTAATAAAAAGTCTTTGCGCCTGGCGTGTTAGCGAACATTTCAGAAAAATTTATTCTTCTCGTAGTCGTCGTCATCGTCGTCGTCGTCGTCGTCGTCGTCGTCGTCGTCGTCGCGCGGTCGGACGTTATTCACCGTCGTACGAAATGCCTTCACCGGAAAAAAACCTACGATTCATTTCTTTAATTTGGAGAGACCAGTCGGACTATGCGAACAGCTGCGCTGGCTCGAAGGTTCGTTTAACTTACTCGAACGTTTCATAATGAGATCTATCGGGGTAAAGATTAAAACTGGAGAAATAGAAAAATGGGTCAAGTTATAAATATATGGATACGCTTTATTTATTAAAGAATTTTAATATGTATTAATGAAATTTATAATGCAAGATTATTTTTATTAAAACTAGAACGTTTTTATCAATGGAAGAATGATTTAATAAATTTTCTTTTTTTCCACAGATTTGACAGATCAATAAAATTATCTTTATCATAAATAATTATTACATAGTTAATAACTATATTAAAATAGTTTTACTTCTGAATTTGATTTATTCTTTATTTAAAAAATATCATATTGGATATTCAAATATTCTATTTCTTTCTATATCTTATTTACATTATTTCTTTGCACGTTCGTATTCGATGATTTTGCGACCGTGATAATATAAACTCGCAACGCCAGCGGTGAATCTCAAATTCGTGATCCGTCTTTTCGTATGATAGGTACGTATGTATGTAGATAAGTACATACGTATCGCCGGAAGGCAGCAGGAGTGCCTCGCGTTCGAAACGTTCTTGAGAAAACGTATAGCAGTTTTTCCAGCGCCTATATTGAAATTCCTTCTGATTGAATTTCGATTACCGACTCCGGTCACCGACGGTGTCGGTAGCGGCTGCAAATAGAATATGACGTACAAATGTAGGCAATCGGAATTTCAGAATTTCCACAGATATATGCGTATTTTCCTGAGATCGAACGTTTTTCCCAACGTTTATGCGTTCAAAACATTAAACTTCTTAGCGAGAATTCGTTTGTTTCTCTTTTTTTTCCTCTCTTGATTTTCTCATTTACGTTACTAATTTTGTTCATCTCATGGGAATAATATGACGAAAATTAACGTATAATTTCCATAGATGAGATATTCAACAAAACATCTATATATACTATATTAGCGTATATTATATATTAGTATTAGCATGATTGCATTAACATTACAATTATTGTAATCAATTACGAATGTATTATTATATCTTATTATTATATGTCGAAATTATTATTTTTTAATATAATCAAGCTAGATTATAATGTCTCATATGTACGTTTATCTGACGGCGATTGATTAATATTCTAATATAAATAAATTCCATTATCATTGACAATTTTACTTGTAAGTTTATCTATTATATATACTGTATTATGTCGAGTGTTATTTCAAGGGAAGGTCACGTAAACGATACAAAATAGGATTGCTCGCTGCTTATTATCCCATTGTAGCGTAGTATTCGCTAGCGATGACAACTCTCTAGATCGTGTCCGATTCCGTATCAAAATTCTTTCGAATTTTTATAATAATTACAATTTATTTTTTAACAATTCTTGGTTCAATAATTTATATTTTATTAATCTTAATCATTCGTATTTAGTTTTTTTTTTATTTATATTCAATATATATCGTTTATGCATATGTATATATTATACACATCATCCGTCACCGTTTGGTCAATGCTAATTCTGAGATATTGGTTTAATTATCAAAAATAGAAGAAATAAAAACCACAAAAATTGAAAGGTAAAGACGATAAATAATTCATTTATCAAAAATATATTGAGAATTATTTAAAAGAGAACTATCTCTTTCTCTATTTATGCTTTAAATTGATTATTTATTAAATTTTTGAGAGTTGTTATCGAAATAAAATTTTCAATAAATTATTATTCAATCCGATTTTTGTTTTTGTTTTTTGTTTTTGTTTTTGTTTTTTCTTTTTGTTTTTTTTTTTTTTATAAAATCGAAGCTTGGAGATTAGTACTAAAAACCGGACTCTCCAAACTAAAACTGAAGAGGTGGCAACCATTCATACATCACACATAACATATGTGTGTATATATATATATATATATATATTATATATGAGTACTTGCATAAGCACATCAAACATACATCTATACATGTGTGCGCTTATATATACATATTTAAATATATTCTGTATTAATAATGCTTTTGAATTTTATTTTGAATCATATTCAAAGTATCTATGAAAATTAGCACATTGATAATATAAACTTTGTATTTTTTTTTATTGCTCTTTATCTACATACGTCTCAATGTACATACGTAAGAGTAAATATATGTCTCTTGAAAAATTTCAAATAAATACTAACATATAAAATTACATTACGTAATATCGATTGTGTTAGTTCGATTGATATTTCTGAGAATATTAGAAAAGGTAAACAAATCTAAGCGTGTACGTTCGTTTTCGTCAATAAACAGAGGAGTAACGTAATAGAATAAAAATTGTATTGTAGATTTATACGTTATATTATATTATAACCGTGAGATGAAGAATGATCTAAAGGTCGTACAAACAAAACAAAAGACAGTCACGTGCTTGACCCTGAATCAAAATCGATGTTAGCTATCGTCCTATACAAATGTAATATTTGAAAGTGTAAGCAGTTCCTCTGAACGTGTCGAACCTGAACGTTCTTATCTTGAATATTTGATATTCTTCATAAATTTATGAAACGATCTTTTTCTCTTTCTAAACGCAGGAACTTCCGCATGATGAGATCTGAAAATCGGTATTGCCTACGACGTTTATACATTTAGCATGATACAACGTAATCACTGTCGAGCTAATGGATTGACATTCAATATATTGGAAAAATTTGGTATGTATAATATATCTTTTATTTAATTAAAAATATTATAAAAGAATATCAAAAACATTATTCTTAATAAGAATTAATCGAATATAAATCGAAATACATAGTGAAATTATTTTAAGATGACGATAAGTTTACATTACCATATTACAGTGATTATATCATTCAGGTGAAGTCGAATTATTACGTCGTAACTTTACATCGTAAATTTTAACATCGTAAGCTTTTATTTCTCGTTATGTTACGCGATGAAAAAGAGGATATACTACAAGTGTGTTTTAAATATACCATCCCTCCCTCCTCCCCACTCCCCCTTACGACTCATTAACTTTTTGCAATTGTATATCTTGCATATCTCCTGTCTCTTCTATTTAGAGAAGAAGATATTAGATCGTGAATACGCGAAAAAGATTTATATTTTTGTAAATAGAACGTCAAAGATTTTAGTAGCTTTTAATAATAATAATGCGCTAATGCGTTTTTAAAATTACGAGTTTGTCCGTGTTAATAGAAAATTTTAAGTTCATTTTGACGAGCCTTTATACTCTTCGTAAATAATTCACAGGAGCACATGCGACCAAGGAAGAAATTCCAAAGGAATTCTCTCATGAATGTATGCTAACTTTAATTAGTTTACTAAATATTAAATGGACTTTTCTCTTATCTCTTAAATATGCAATTTTTTATTTTTAAGTTTAACCCTCGAACTTGACGTTTCGATAGAAGGAATATAAACCATCGTGCTTGTTTTTGATTTTGATTCCAACGACACGCGATGCTTACCGACAGGAATTCGAATCGTAAGTCCTTTGACTCCATAAGTTCTCCCTCCTTTTCGTTTCTATCCTATGTCGAGCATTTCGTAAAGTTGTTTCGCACGAGCAATCATTAGGAGTTTCCCGTCTAAACTTGGCATTCAGACTCGTCGAAGCATCGTTGAAGGTAGCGAAAGGAAAGTTAGGCTTACGAGGTTGCGAGACTTCCGCGTTGTTCGAAACGCCTCTCTTCCTCTTTCCTCACTTCTCAACCATCGCCATCGCCATCACCATCACCCTTAACCCTCCATAGTTCCTCGTCTTTCCTCTTCTCGTCACGTAATTTCACCATTGTTCTTGGCGCATTCGTGAGGCCTGGCGATACTCTTTTTGGAGCAGCAATTAATATGCCCTTAATTCCGTATCCGTTCAGCGCGTAATATCCCTCCTCGGATGATCCAGGAACGAAGACGAAGTGGAATTAAACTTCGCGGATAGGATTTGGTGCTTTCGTGATCCCGACATAAATGAACGTCGATGTAAACTCTCGAAAGAGCGCTCGAAAAGGAAGGAACGAACGAAGGAAGAAAGGAAAGGGTAGATGAATCGTGGGAGGTCTTCTCCTCTTTCTTTTTCTCTCCCCTTCTAATCTCATCTAATCAATACCAAAGTCTCGCGCTTACTCAATGTCACCGTCAGGGGCCACGAAGCTGGAGCGACTTTCTCTCTCTCTCTCTCTCTCTCTCTCTCTCTCTCTCTCTCCCTCTCTTTCTCTCTCTCTCTCTTTCATGAACAAGCGAGCGAGCAGCTTCTTCCGTTTCCCGCAGCGCAAATTCGTTAAAGTTCCTCGCACAATGTCGTCACAGTTCTCGTCTTCTTCATCGTCGCATCTCAGAGCTTCCATCGCTTGCTACGCTTCGATTCGTGGATTACTTGCTACCACGAGTACGTCGTTCCTCGAATACTTTGCGATGTCACCTCGTTGCCGTAGGCCAACTCTCTTAAGTTTCTGTTCTTTCTCTTTCTTCCTCTCCCTCTCTCTCCCTCTCTCTCTCTCTCTCTCTATCTCTCTTTCTTTCTCTTTTTCTTTTACTCTTTCCCTCTTTCATTTCGTCATCCTTCGTCTCGAACCTAATCTAAATCTATCCTTCGATAGGTCGCTTCGATAGATCGAGACCGAAGGGTTTCTTCGCCTCTGGCGACTATTTTCAACCCTCTACTTCAGTGGTTCTCAAAATGTAATTCCTCAACCCTTCAATAATAGAGTCCTTTCGATTTCAGGACCATCATAAATCCTTTTAAGAGAATGAAATTCGACAGAATTTACTATTACACCTTCGATACGATCTTTGTAGAACGAGGAATGGACGTGGAAAGGTTAAACGTTTAATTCGCGAATTCATATTTAAATAGAAACGTAAGTTCGTATCTCGCAGAAGCGGAGTATTTCCTTTTGCTTTTCTCTCAAGGGAATAATAACGGAAGTAAGCTGATCGCCATTATAAACATATACATATTTTTCCTGAAGCCATGCTTTCGAGTAAACCGTCTGAGTACGTAGATATGTAGAAACATGTACAACAATTTTTAGGTCGCAGTCGACACCGGAAACAGGAAGCTTCGCCTCGCGAGTTCGTTGCGAGATACATTCCCTTGACTTCGCGCACGTTCGTGGATGCACGTCCATGAGATAAAAGGTAAAGATAGAGACAGAGATACAGAGGGACAGAGAGAGAGAGAGAAGAAAAAGAAAAGGGAGAAAGAGAAACAGCTTTTTCGGCCGGAAATTGTATGCCAATCTCGGAAAAAGACAATTACACGTGTAGTCGGAACAAAACGGTATCTTTGCGCGTCGTTTCGATCGATATTCTATCATATCGGTTAAGCTACCACTTTTCAATCAGTTTTCCATTTGCATCGGCAGTGCTTTTACACAACAGCGTAGATTACCTTTCCAGGTGACCAATTCATCGGTCGATGAGAAAAGTTCGTGATTTTCACGAGCGTAAAACGAGGAGACTTTTCCTTTCTCTAAAAAAAAAAAAAAAAAAAAAAAAAAAAAAAAAGAAAAAAAAAGAGAAAAAACTAAAAAAAAACTAAAAAAACAACAATAATAATAAAAAAAAGATTTTATTCGACTCAATCGTTTTGTACGAACTAATTTGTATCCAATCGGCTATGAAAGGTGTATCGCATAGTATATAAATTTATTTGTCCATTTGGTAAGTTTGCGTTTTTAGACGAAATTGTTACTCGGTTAAAAACAAAATGATAAATAAAACGAGTTTTATAAGTTTCGAAATTTTATTGGATAAACGTAGATACTATTACGATTATTTGAATCGCTCGAAATTTCTTCGATTTCTCCGACGTGGGAGAGTTGTATTATAGAAAGCAATTAAATTCGTAAGTGAGGGGTAAAGGGATTCTCGTTTTGGGTAACACACGGTATGGGCCGCATTACATTAACGACGTTTCTTTCTGTTTAGCCTTCTGGTTTCGGGTAGTGGTCTCTACTGTAGTCAGAAGAGAAGGAAACGTGGAGGGGGCCCGATCGTTTCCAATCAGACGTGGGCTATTAAAGGCCAATCGTTTCCCATTACGAGCAACCCTCCGTACTACGCCGAGAGCGTAGTAATGCAGTTTCGTTGCCACGCCGGTATACCTTTCGATTTTTTAATCGGTGCTTGCTTATTGCCGAATACTTCAACGATTTGATCTGAAACATCTTTCTGAACGTTTAAGGATGATGAAATCATTGATTAAGCGAATACGTACGTATCGTGTTCATAGTGAATTCAGAAATATATAATTACCAAAGTTGAAATTATATATTCTTTCAAATAAGCGGGATAAAATATTACGATTCATTCTACACGTATGTTTGTTTTCATTTTCACTTAAATCTTTTATTACTTTCAGCTTTGAATTTATATAAAACTCATGAAAATTTCCTTTATCCGTCGTTTCGCTTCACTATCGAACTTTTTTTTTTCTTCTCTTTTTTTTTTCTTTTTTTTTTCTTTTATAGATCTCGATCGATAAAATACGAACGGAATTCGTTATAGGTATAGGAATGCATATAATTTGACAAAGAAGTATTGGCTGTCGATTTTGGTCGCAGCCGGTGAAATTTATTAAACGGATTGCGATTCAATGACGTTCGACGATAGGATTCCACGAGAGAAACGTGAGAAACTCTTCGGTGTCTGTGTAACTGCAGCGGAGCGACCGCTTTGGTGCATTATGCAATCGAGAGTGAAGAAGAGAGAGAGAGAGAGAGAGAGAGAGAGAGAGAATGAGAGAGAGAGAATGAGAGAGATCCCTTGAAAGTTTTATCGAGCGCGCGCGATCTTCGAAGTTGCATCGTGGAAATGTATGCAACGTGTGCACTGTATTCGGGTGGTAGAATAACCGTCTCGTGCTATATGTTTCTCTACGATTCTTCGAGACTTTTTAATGGCCGCATTACTTTCGAAATACTACCAAATGCCATCAAAAAAATTTTTTTTTTTCTTTCTTTTCTTTTTTCTTTTTTTTTTTTGGAAAAAAAATAACATTTATAATTCTCTTTCGACACGTTATATTTTCGGTTGGTAAACATTAACTTCTTCTTCTTCTTCTTCTTCTTCTTCTTCATTTCTTTTCGAATAAACACCAAGTAGTTTTTTTTACATTAAGAAAATATATTCACCTCTCTCGATTTAGATTTACTTTTACGGAAAAGGCCGCATCCGGAAGTAACTTCTCGCACGAAACGATTAACATCGGAACCGGTTGGTATTCCTCTCGGGGTATTTCTAAGTTCCGGTCTAGTAACGACCTATGTACAACGACCCTATTTTCCAGTATCAAGCGGAAGTATTAAGAATTTTTAACGGTTATTAATTTGATGCTTAGTCGAGTTTAGTCCGACGCGGTCCAATTACGTAACTAGATGTAATTAAATAGAAGGTAATTTAGAAACCTGCGAAAGGTATTATTGAAGTTTCGAAGTACGGTGCGAAGCAACGAGGGAATTGCGTTTGTTTACGAGGCTTTCGTCGTTTCAGCTCTGAAAATATGCAACATGGTAGGGTGTAGAAGTGAGGTTGCTGTCGTCGAAAGGGTGACCCGATTGGACGATGACGACAACATTGCTGGAAAACGTTCTGTCTGACACACACATGCGCGTTACTCCTTCGTTCAATGTTACCGAAAGGGATCCGGTCCGCTTCATGCATATGCTAATCATATTCGGAGATATGTGCTTGCTGCCTTCTAGGATAGAGATGAACATCGGCCAATTCGACCTTGCCATTCCCGACCCTTCTTTTTTTTTTTTCTTTTTTTTATCTTTTTTTCCCTTCCCCTCCTTCTCCTTTGCAGTCGTCGATAGTACGATATCGATATACGATATCGATTTGTTACACGTCCACTTGTGTCTTTTAATAGAAGATATGAAACGTTAAAGTCGAGAATAGATTGAATATTTATAGAAAAATTTCATTATCAAATTTCGATTAAAGATAGGCTATATCTTTGAATTCTTTTTGATACATTACTTATCGTTAACTATTGAATTGATTAGAATTTACGAGTAAAGTTCAAGTCTTGAACTTGATCCATTCCATCCCTAGGCAACTCGATATAGTTCAATAACTAAATATCTTCTTCTTCGAAGCTAGTAAATGTTTCCAAGTATATCTATCTATCCATTATCCGTTCATCTAATCCGATATCTACCGATCTGCCGTCCAATCTATCCAACTATCCGCCTATTTAGCCGATCGACTATCTATCGATCTTCTCTATCTTCTTCTTCCTTCGCCGATGTCATCGTACCTCTCGCGAGACACTTTGTCTATCCACTCTGCGACCTTTCGACCATCACGTTACCTATCTACTTCGCTAGGCCTGCCAATTACCGTTGTATCGACGCATTCTTCGTTCAAGCGCAAACGACTCTGACTTTCTAAAAGAGAAAGAGCGAAAGAGTTAGAGAGAAAAAGAGGGAGGCAAGGAGAAGATCAGAAAGAGACAGAAAGAGAGAGGGAGAGAGAGAGAGAGGAAGAACTCGTCCTTTCACGATACGTCCACAACTCGCGGCTCGTTAGAAGTGGGTTTCTCGTGGATCGATATCCGTTAGATCTTCGCCAGATCTCCGTTAGATTTTCCTTACCCTTTTATAATGTTTTCTGCTCCGTTGGGATTTCTACTTGTGGAACTTTATGTTCTGTACACTCGTAAAGGCTCTACGTGTACGAAAAATTCTCGTGGAATTCGCTTTTATCCATTGGTATTCTTAAAACGGCAACTCTTCGTCCATGAATCCACTTTCCTTTCGTTGTTCATTTTATCCCACGACATAGGTATGTAGGTATTCTCAGGTATTTTTATATCCGATTGACTTCATTACGTTCCTTTAGCTTTTTAATTTTTATTGAATGATACTTTATCGTACTCCTCCATTCATTCGTTTCGTTTCGTTTCGTTTCGTTTCGTTCATTCGTCTCTCGTAGTCGAAGTTCACCTTTAAGGGAATCCTTTCGAAATAAAAATAAAATTAGCTTATCTCTACTTCCGAAAGATTGAGCGACAGTGTAATTACTTTACCGAATATGCGGTATGTACCCTCGAGCACGACCGAGTACGGATTCGGAGACGTGGATAGCTCGTTGCAAGTTATATTAAAATATTACGTCGACGTTCGAAAGAGAAAGAGAACAAACGAAAGCGAGATAGCAACCCGGTGGATCGTGCTGCCGAAATTACCGGTGAATAACTTCGCGATAAATTATTATACTTGGGTCGTATGTATTAACACGATATATCGAGATATATCTACTACTTCGTACTTCTCACCGATATTATTTTCCTTGTTTTCTATCTTTTACATATATTTTCGACGTGCCGCAAAGTTTAGTTAATAAACTAAATTTGTATTCATATAATGATCTAGTTAATCGCAAATGCTAAATTGGTTGCTTTTATGCGATAGCTGAAAGAATTAATGTAGCTTTAATACTTTTAAAACGCTTCCGGCAATTTTACCGGCGAAAGCAACGTGAAAACTATTTCTATATCTTCGTTCGCGATTTAGCTTGCGAATTTGTTCACGATTTGCAAAGTATTTTTATTATTTCGACTATGATACGAGAGAATCGATGATACTTTATTAGTCGTGCACGCTCGATAAAGCATTTTTGTTTTAATCATGGAATAATTAATGGAATGCGACAGAATCGTATATAACTTTGGTCGACAAAAAATGCTTGTATAATTAAAATACTCTTTCGCCACAGAGCGTCGTCCGTTAATTTTAATTATTAGAATACTAAACGGATCAAAAGTAATTTCGAAAAATCGTAATGAAACGAAGTAATGCAATTATTAGGTATCATCTTAGGATTATTATATAATCATATTGATAACATTTTCTTAGAGTTTTTAAAGAAAATTAAACGAAATTAAATGGATATTTTCATCTGATTAAACGTTCTCTCATCATTAAACGTATTACGTAAATAAATAATTAAATCGATTTGACTTAATCTGAAGGTAAAACAAAAAAAAAGAAAAAAAAGAAAAAGAAAAAAAGAAAAAAGAAAGATCGAAAGATAAATAGAAATAATAAGAAAAAGAAAAGTTCATGTGAATACGTTCATCGTTCATCGATTGCAATCCGAGCCGAAATCCTTGCGAAAAGTTGTTGAAATACGGAGAATCGGCATCGCGGCTTTGCCTAACCGTCAAACCGGTCTCATTTCTCGTCAGATCGGTTTCTCGGGCGACAGACGCGTCCCTTCGTTGCGAAGGCTATTCGGTAGCAAAAGCAGGATCGCTTTCTCGCTCGTTCGCTCTTTCTTGTTGTCATTTTTGCAATGGTCAATAGCTCATTTGAATGCGCCGTGGTTCCGCGCACCGCCACGGCGGACGTTAACGATTCTTTTGTTTTACGTATACGCGGGGCCGTGGACTTGGCTCAAAGTCAGTCACAGCAGTTGAGAGGTAGAGGGACTTGATTTAAAGCCAGGCCGATATCTCGGGGGATCGCACTGCGCTTAACGAGCGTCGCACCACGTGTGTGCGCAACGTGCGCTCACGCGCACAAACGCGATCAACTAAAAGAAAAAGAAAGAAAGAATATATGTGTGAGCCAGAATGTGCTAGAAAACTATTCGAAAGATTGACTTATGTTCTCTTTCTTTCTCTCTCTTTCTCTCTCTCTCTCTGTTTCTCTCTATTACTCATCCTTTTTGCTTCATTATTACTTTCTTTCTTTCTTTTTTTTTTTTTTTTCTTTTTTTTTGTATTATCATAGCAAATTTAATGTTTATAACCTATGTAACTTTGAAGTCACACGCTCGTATATAAATATTTTTTTTCATTTTTCCGCCGTAAAATTTTCATTCATATCCATGCTATAATATTGTTTTTTATAATATTATTTGTATTGTAAATTAATTTTCACGGTGTTGTTTTTTAGACATGAAAAGAAAAAAATTGAGTTATAGAAGATTAATATTTAATGTTTCTCACAAAGTGAGGAATTCTGGTATTCAAAATCAATTTACTACATCCAGTGATATATAATTTATCTATTAGATGACTCGAGAACTGCTTAGAGGTGCACCAAGCAAGTATTTGGGGTCTCTCGGAGACCCTTCTTGCTAACTATTGTCTCCGAAGTTTAGTCGGAAGCTCGAGGAAATGAAATTCCCTAATTAGTGAAAGCGGCGAACTCTCTCTCACGTAACGTATCGAAGATCTTTTTGTAGATCTTATATTTAGATATAATTAAAAAATTTTTCTAATTTTTACTTACGACGAGCTACGAATAAATGATTTTTATCATTTGCTATTACAATTAAAAAAAAAAAAAAAAAAGAAAGAGAAATTCTTTAAAATGAAGCTGTATATTTAAAAGAGCGAAAACAAATGGGTGTACCCTTTTAACAAAAGTTACGTGTTTTCGGCTTTTAACATTCGCTAAGGAAGAAAAGATATTGTTACATATATACCACGTTTACGAACAGCTCAACGACAATTTTACGATCGTACGTAGCACTTAAAGATCATACTTTTGCACGGATTTCAGGTACAAGCCGATGGAGAACGGAACCACTAACAATGCCCGGTCATACATCGAAATCGCGAAGGACACGGTCCTCCTGCATACAAACGAAAGAGGAGAGGACATTCGGGTTTTCTTAATCAGGTATCGAACTCTTCTCCGTCCTTTTTACGATCTCTGTGAAAAATACCGCTTGGTTATAAATCGCCAATGCGCAACCAACAACGGTTGCGCTCCTTTACGGAGGGAAATAACTTCCTTTGAATTCTTTTCGATTTACTTGCTTATAGTCGCGTTCGAAGGCACAACTTCGAAAAAGAATCGAAACTCTTTAATCGTACGTGAAGTTTCGTACGAGATACGTTTTTCTTTTTTCTTTTCTCTTCTCTCTTTTTTTCTTTTTTTATTTTCTTTTTGTATATTTTTATTTTTTTTTTTATTTTTTCATTATTTCTTCCGAACGAACAATTTTTTATCACTGCACTTCACGCCTCTTTCCTTCCCTTTGAACGATCAAATATTGCTTTGATTTTTTAAGATCAGATGGCATTATATTTGCTAAATACAGAGAGAGAGAGAGAGAGAGAACGAATTGTATGGAAGATTAAGCGATATTCCTGGCACCTAACTAAATTAGATATCGTCAGAATAGTATCGGGAGCCGTTAACTGTATGGTCTATACGAGATTTCGCGAAACGGGTAAATCCAAGAATCGGCGTTAACGAGCGGATATTCCATCGGTTGGCAATCAAGAAATTAGTTTCGTTTCAATGTCTATGCTACTCGTCCGGGAACTATTTTGAAACGTGACACGCTTGATTCGTCAAGATGAGTGAATAATTTCTCGAGCGTTAACATCTATCGGATAGATTTTAATTCGATTATCGAAGTGGAACGATAAGAGATAGATAGATAGATATATAGATAGATAGACAGAGAGAGAAAGAGTTAGAGAGAGAGAGAGAGAGAGAGAAAGAGAGAGAGATGGGATGAGGTGGGAAGGGGAAGAGAAAGAAGAAAGACATCGATCGTTCGTAATTTTATTATTTCGACACGGAAAACGACGGATCGGGACGAACGGAGCGTGTGTCTTGGAGGCACGTAAAATCGTTTGCTTTAGAAATTCCGTTCGCGCTTTTAACGCTCCGAGGAACATTACGATAGAATCGTATCGTTCGTTGTATTCGAACCGGCTTATCGAGCGCCGTTATCAATGATTCGTAACCTCGACGTCGTGATAAATCTTTCTCGCTTTGCCGACTGAAATCGGCTTTACACTTTAATCTTCGCTTCTATCGGTTCTATCGCGAAAGAGAGAGAGAGAGAGAGAGAGAGAGAGAGAGAGAGAGAGAGAGAGAGAGAGAGAGAGAGAGAGAGAGAGAGGATATGTTGTAACGGAAACGGGATTCGATATTGCGCTCTCTTAAAGAGACGCCTGTGCTTGGGGATACGCCGACGATAGAGCGCTTAGTTTACATTGGCTTTTCGGTTTTATCTACCATGCGACTTTATCCCATTCAATTGTAGGTTATCGGGATACATTTGGACTCCTGACGGTTTAGAAATAAGGGGGATTAACGTCGAGCACGTCTTTCTCCGTAACGTGGTCATTAGGATCGTTCTATTTTTTTTTTTTTTTTTTTTTTTTTTTTTTTTATTAAACGTCGAACTAAAGTAAATCGCCTCTATTATTATGATATCATATTAGCCTTGTACTTATACATGTGTATCTGTAATAAGATAAAGTCGTTACAGCTGTTACAACATCGTTATAGATAATGCGGTAATGCTTACCTTAACATTCTAATCTTACCTTTCGAATTACTTTCTGATACGTTTCCTTTTGAAATTGTACTAATCTTACATTCTTTGTTATACAAAATGAATGATAATGAATAATTATAATAATTTTATGATTATTTTCGTAAAAATTTAATACATTAAAAATAAATTTTATATTATATTTCGAAGGAAGCATAATTTATATATATATATATATATATATATATATATATATATATATATATAGGTGAAACGGATGGAAGGATTAACGTTAAAGCGATAGAAAGAGGAAAACGATGTCATAGCCGTTCCATCATGATATCTATTTTCTATACATATATTATACGTTCGGTCGTCATCGTCGTCGTCATCCTCGTCGTCGTCGTCCGGTCTCGTAAGCCGATACTAACCTATACCGTTTGCATCGCAAATAAACACCATTGCAACCGCTGACAAAGCTGGTTCGCGAATGCAGCCACCTCTAAACGCATTACGTTTCCTCTTTCGCGCCATTTCGAAAGCGTTGACTGAAAACGACAAAACTTTCTACTCGTTGTTGATAGTGTCGTACGCGTTGCTTTCGTTAGACGACGAGTACATTCTACATTGCTATAGTAGTGCCGAGAAAGAACTTGTCCCTTCAATAGGGAAGGGTGTCAGCAACAGGGAACGATATTATCGCAAGAGGAGGAGGCCACACAGGGATTTCGAATAATAAACGAACCGCGAAAATATGTTTATCCCGGTTGGCGACTCCCTTGCGATTCCAACTTTTCCTCGACTTTTCCGTTCTTTTCTTTCTCTCTCTCTCTCTCTCTTTTTTTTCTTGCTTCTTCTTCTTCTTCTTCTTCTTCTTCTTCTCTTCTTTTTATTTTCTCTTTTTTATTGTTTATTCGGTGCGAACTTGCTGGTTCCGAAGAAAACGAAGAAGAAAAAGAAAAAGGGAATAAGAGAATACGGAAGGAAGCCCTCGATGAGAGCAAGTAGTTCGTTTACTCATGGGGATACCAACGACGACAAGCTCGTCGAAGCGCGTGAACCCCTGCTTGCCTTGTATAAACATCGAAATTAGCTGCTGATGGTGGTGGTGATGGTAGTAGTGGTGGTGTAGTGACAAGAAAGGCCTGCCCTCCTGTTAAAGAAGAAATTGTGACCGTTCATGGCGGACAAGGATAGGCTGAGTTTTCGCGAGGCTTAAAAAGCTTAACTAACGCAAGTGTTTTTCTATCTCTTTTTCGATACTAGGATAACGGAGGGTTCCCACGATCCTCTTGAAATCAGCATTCTCGTGCTCGATACCTAATACAATTTTACCCTCGGGTGTCGGTACGGAAAATTATGGTCTTGCCAATTCTACGTGTTTCTTTTCGAGTATTTTGATATCGAGTTCTGTATTCTATCAAACGAAGGGAAAAAGAAAGGAGCGAGAGATAACTATGCTCGATTTGACTTTGAACTTTTTCTTTCCTTTCTCATCTCTCTCTCTCTCTCTCTCTCTCTCTCTCTCTTTTCATGCAACGTCACGCGTTGAATCTTTCAAAGAAAGAGTTTACTTAAAGCGATCTTCAAAGTGATAGAAGTTTCATGAAAGTAAAGTCAATCGATTTCAGCTTTGATTGCTTAAAGCGGGTTAAGCTTTCATTATTTAGATATTTCTTATCGAATATCTCGTGGTCGGAAAAATATTTATACATTTTAAAACGTTGAATGTATAGCAATAACAGTAACGTTATCGTTCCTTTTATATCAGACATTAACAGAGTAAATATTTTCTAATTTCCTACGATATGAATCACGTTTAATATTTTCCTTAAAAATAAATCAATTCCTTTGGTAAATATAAATACGACCGAATTACAAGCTCGTTTAATCCTTTTCTTTTTTTTTTTTTTTTTTTTTTCTTTTCTTTTCTCTCCCCGATTTCACGAGAACAGAACCCTACGATCTAATTCTAATCTCTTCAATTTATCAAAGATATCTTAAAAACAAATCTTTTCGCATAATTAGAGGCAAATTGATTAGAGTTGTGTAGAGTGAGGAGGGTATCCGCATTTGGGAGTCGTTAGTAATCCCGGATACTTCGTTCTTTGGAAAAAGAGAAAGAGAATCAGGATAGACGGGAAGTGAGGAAGGAAGAAAGTAGTATGAGGAAGAGGGGAGAGAGAGAGAGAGGGAGGGGGGCAGGGATCGCTCATTTTGGAAAAGCCTTAATGCAATCTAGGCTCGGATCAGCGCAGGGCTCGTGCAAGCGAGCGAACGTTGTCGCAACTCGTCCTCTTCCGTTCTGCAACTCGCCCAGTTGCAGAACGTTTGACAGAAGCCGATGCATTCCGCACGACATCGCGACTGTCCTACTGCGTCTCGTCTCCCCTTATTTATTGCTACGTGATCCGGCCGAGAGTGCGAGAGAGAAAGAGAGCGAGAGCGTGCGCGCGCGAGAGAGAGAGAGAGAGAGAGATAGAAGGGAATCGATGGCAAGAAGAAGAAGAAGAAGAAGAAGAAGAAGAAGCTGGATGCGCACGGACCCCTGACATTTGGCATGTGCGTATTCAAATCCGTCCGGACGACTCCCCTAACTCACCGACAGCAAGCTCTTGACCAAGGGAGGAGGAAAGGCTGCTTGCTTGGTTGCTCCTCCGACGACGTTGATTGAATTAAAAATAATCGTCCTCGTCGGCGAGATCGCTCAGTCTCTTTTACCCTCCCTTCTTGGATCATCCGATAGTCGTGATTATGCGTTGCTCCGCGAGCTTAATTAGAAGAAGGAGAAGAAGAAGACGAAGAAAGTCGAACGAAGCCCCCGGGGGAATTGCCGTCTTCGAAGATGAGAAAATTCCGATACACGTTCTCCCTCTCTCTTTCTCTCTCTCTCTCTCTCTCTCTCTCTCTCTGTCTCTCTCTCTTTCTCTCTTTCTTTCGATCGTTCGAGTTTTAAGAGATCGACGAAGACGAAGACGAAGACGAAGAAGAAATCGCTTCGCATATTTCTTTTTCATTTTTTTTTTCTCTTTTTCTTTTTTTGCCAGTTTCCTCCTTTTAACGTACTTACTTCCCGTACTTGCTATCCATATCACTCTCTGCGTTACTTCTTTTCACGAAATCAAAGTTCTACTACGTCTACGAGAAACGACGAGAGATCAGAGTGATCCGACGAGGCATGGATTACGGCAGAGCCGTATCGTTGCGATTACTTTTAAACGAAGTACGACAAGTTTTACGATCGCGCTGGCACTCCTCGTAATTACAAAAGAGAGAGCTATAGTTTTATCTTCCTTCCCCCTCCCCTCTTTCCTTCTCTCTCTCTCTCTCTCTCTCTCTCTCTCTCTCACTCTCGCTCCCTTCCTCCTTTCCTCTCTTTCTG